CTGACTGTTCTTCCAGAGATCCTGAGTTCAATTCCCGGCAACCACATGGTGGCTCACAACCACCTTGAATGAGATCTGGTGCCCTCCACTGGCATGCAGGCAGAAGACTGTATACACAATAAAAAAACAAAAACAAAAACAAAAAACAAAAAAAAAGCACTGCCTGTTCTCTTTTCACTGTTTTGATGGAAAGTTTTGCTGCGGGACCCCGTGTTCTACACCAGGAATCCATGCAGTACAGAGCAGGTGTATGGAGTCTTACCTTACACCATAAACAGAGAGACCCAGTGAAAGACAGATGTGCAAGCTGGAGGCTAGAACAAGAAAAATAAGACATTTGATAGAGAAATACATAACAAGGTAAAAGAAATTAAAATTCTCTCACATCTTTAATATTTCCAGAGAAGTAATATGTGAGATCAGAGAATAGGACAATGCTTTTTAAAAACCACTAAACATTAGTGGCTTTCCTTTAGTGAATAAAAGATAAGCAAGAATTTTTTTCTTTTTTTAAATTTAAACTAGAAACAAGCTTGTTTTACATGTCAATTCCTGTTCCCTCTCCCTCTCCTCCTCCCCTGCCCCCACCAACCCCCTTCCCATCCCCTTTCTGCTCTCCAGGGAGGGTGAGGCCTTCCATGGGGGAATCTTCAAAGTCTGTCATATCATTTGGAGCAGGGCCTAGGCCCTCCCCTGTGTGTCTAGGCTGAGAGAGATAAGCAAGAATTCTTGTAAATTCACAGCAATAGCAGTGGAACTAAAGAGTTCTAGAAAACGTGACAATAAAGTAGAGACTATCTACCATAAAGTTGGCAAAAGCATTTTACATTAGAGAACAAAGGCCACACAATCACTCCTTGGGGTTATTCATAGGAGTGAGGGTTGACTGAAAGGTTTTAGTCTACGTTTACTTTAAAAGGAAACAATAACTTATTGTTTTATATGTGTAAGCATTTGCTTGCATGTTTGTCTATGAGTGCCTGGCACCCCTGAAGGTCAGAAGAGGAAAACATACCTTCTGGATTTGGAGTTACATACGGATGTAAGCTGCCATTATAAGTGTTGGGAATTGACCTGGGTCCTCTAAAAGAGCAGCCAGTGCTCTAAACTGCTCTCCAACCCCCTTTATTCACCACTTAAAAATATGCCATCCTAGAACCTTCATCCAGTGACTGATGGAAGCAGAGTCAGATACTCACAGCTAAACACTGAACTGAACTCCTGGAATCCAGTGACAGAGATGGAGGAGTGGTGAGCAAAGGGGTCAAGACCATGATGGTGAAACCCACAAAGTCAGCTAACCAGATACGGGGGGAGCTCTTGAATCCCAGACTGATGGCTGAGAAGCCAACATGGGACTGACCCAGATTCCATGAATGCAGTGCCAGTGAGGAGGCCTCAGAAATCTCTGGGGCCTTGGGTAGTGGATCAGTGTTTACCATGGTGTATGAATGATCTTTGGGAGCACATTCCACATGGAGGGATGCTCTCTCAGCCTGGACACATGGGGAAGGGCCTAGGTCCTGCCCTGGATGAAATGACAGACTTTGGAGATCCCCCCCAAGGAGGACCTTACCCTCCCTGCGGAATGATGTGGGGATTGGGTGGGAGGTTGGGAGGGAGGGTGGAGGGATAAGGGAGGAGAGGTGGGAGAGGGAGCTGGGATTGACATGTGAAGCATTCATGTTTCTAATTTAAATAAAAATATATTTTGAGAAAAATGTGGTTTACAATTAGTATGCAAAGTAGCAGGCTTCATTGTGGCATTTTTATATGTCCTTGGGTTCATACATTTGTGGGTGGACCATCCCTGGACTTCTCTCCCCTTCACTTTCATGTCACATGTATGTATTCTAGTGTCCTCTCCTTACATTCCCTCAGACCTGCATTTCCCTCTCATGGTCCCCTTCCTAGTTTCATAACATGCAGTGATATTCTTATGTGCGCACTTGCGCCAGACACACACACACACACACACACACACACACACACAGACAAACACATACACAGACACACACACAGATGCACACACAGAAACACACAGACACAGAGACAAACACACATACAGACACAGACACACACACATAGACACACACACAGATGCACACACAGACACACACACACAGGCACACACACAGACACAGACACACACACACACACACACACACACACACACACACACACACGGCCCTGACAAAGACTGAGGTCTGGGGCTGGAATGGAAGGTTAGGTTCATGCAGGACACCAGAAGGACAGGAAATTGTAGCTCAAGGCCGGGGAGACCAGATCCAGGGAAGCAATGGAGAGCCACTCTAAGACTCTGAGCAGGAGCTTCAAGAGGGCATGCATGATGAAGCAAGCATCCTGGAGGGAGGCACCTCTGCAGCTCTGAGGGAGGAGGAAGGGGGGAACAGCAGGGGGGGGGATTGAAGCATCTTCCCAGCTACTGAGGGATGATGCTGGAGCCTATGAAGTTTCTGGGACTGGATAAGACATTTAAAAGCTACTTCAGGGGATGGATAGGATGTATTCCCTCAGTAGAGGAGACGGGAGAGTCAGCAACTGAGTGATGGAGTCCTGAGGTGACCACAGAGGAAGAGACGTGGTGAACGTGCTTGTCCATCATCATCTTCATGTTTACAAAGAGTCCTGATTAGGGGGTGTTGCTTGTTCCTGCATCAGCTTGATCTCTTCTAGACCTCAGAGGAAGGGAAAGGTCAGCATCCTCCAGAAGCTTCCTTCAGAGACTGTTCATCATGAGGATTACATGGGTTCCACAGACAATGTCCAGAACCCTCTCCCTGCAGAATCCCAGTGGGCTCCCCTGTGGGAGCCCAACATCCACTCCTGACTGAACCAGGAAGGGATTTTCAAGACATCTGGCTCCTGTATGGAATTTCCTTCCCTCTCCGCAACTAGTCTAACTGGGGGCCTGTGGTTTGCAGCTATCTGGCTGCTGCTTAGAAGAAGTGAGGGCTGAGTAGCCACCACGAATGGATTCCCAAGCAGCTTCCTCCCCACACTCTTGGCATTCATGTGGCACGGCTATAAATTATGCCCGGCGTGTTCATTTTCAGTTTGAATGTGTTCTCATCCCAGAGGAGCGACTAATGGCGTCAAGTTACTGATGTGAAAAAAGCCTGCCGCTACAATGACTATGGATTAATGAAACAGTCTCTCGGAGGCTGGGGCCGCAATCAATCCTCAGCCACCGGTGACATGGATTTTAAATTGTGTTCTCTGACCATTTCCCTCTTTTCCAAAATTATTTCGCTATACTTTCATTGGGTAAATGTTTACCTCTGTTAAGTGTTTGCTTTCTATTAAAACTGGATGCACACAGGGTGACTTCATCCTCACACACTGCAAGCTGGCAGAGAGGGATTCCAAAGCCCATCAGACTTTCTCTAGGAGGCGTGAAGACAAATCTCTTAATCCAGGATCATCAGTGACTGATAAATTTCATTCAGAAAGTTGGCAAGCACCGCATCCTACCCATGATCTCTGTCCATGGCCATGTAAGTTATTCTCCCAACTTTCTCATGGGACCCTTTCATTTCCCCAGTGAGTTAAATGGGAACAAACAATGCAACACTCTCCTGCTTTTCTTTTTTCCAAAATGCATGAAGTTTATTTTCTCTAGAGGAGGATGCCAAAGATTCCACCAATAGGCTCTGGGGTATTCTAAAAAATCTGGATCCTAATAGCAAATTATTCTGGTCTGTTTCTGGAAGTGCAGAGTATAGATTTCATGATACTCCTCAAGTGGTGAGTGCCATAGATGGTACCATGCTCCTACCCCGTTCTCAGTGCCCTGCAGTGGGACTGTAGTTGTTTCTACAGCAAAGGAAACTAAGCCTCGATTTGAAGTTGGCCTTGCGGTTGGCATTGACTAAAGCTAATGTGATGAAATCAGGCTTGAAAAGCACTGGTCGACTGGGAGTTGACAGACTTACTGTTCTTGAAACTCTCCTGGTATGGGGACACAGCTGGTGAGCCAACCTAAGGAGCTATATCACCCAGTCACTCTGAGTCTCCACGCAACCGACCAATAACTACATGGAGCCACGATTCCTGGAACAAATCAGAAATGTTGAGCTCAAGTTGCTGACCTATCTTATAGCAGTATGAACTAAACAAAATTATGTTGAGTCTCTTAGTTTTGGTGTTGTTTGTTACACAGTAAAAACTAACTGATACATGCTCTCCCGGACAGTATATATTTACTTGGCCTTTGTGTTCTCTTTTCCTGGAAACATCAGAATTATTTAAAAATAGTTCTTGAACTGGGTAGAACTGGTCCTTCCAAAAGGGCTGAGGTCAAGGTCATCTCAAAGCTACTTAGTAAATCTGGGGGGTTCCAGTGCACTGACTTCAGATTCATTTCCTCACTCATGAAACAGTTTCCAGATACCTACCTTGTATGCTGCTGTAGTTACCAGGGACAGCATGTGCCTTAGAGATGTGCTGGCTGCTTGGAGGCTGTGGCATGAGCAGAAGAACCCTTAGGAAAAGGCCTTAGAGAGTGTGGGTGTGCATAAGACACTCTGAAAACTTCATTGTTTCCATAGGCAGTGGTTGCTTGGCAGGTGGACCCCAGCTTATGGTTGTCCTCTGCCAGAAGGTAAGCTCGGTTTCTTCAGGCTCAGTTAAAACAACCGTGCGCCATTCTGACAGTGTCGGCCTGCCTCCCTCCCTCTGAGGGTCGCTGTCCTGGGTTCTGCATTCACCGCCTGCATCTGTATCCTAACATAAGGTGTGGATGGAGGCCCACTACCTAAGGACCATTGCATCAGCAGCAAATCACCAGTCTGATTTACTATCAGAATCTCACTGAAACATGAAGGACCACGGTGTTTCCAGGCTCAGTGAACCATACAAGGCTCAACTTTTTTTTGGACAAGGAAAATATTTTTGTTATTTATCTAAAGCAGAAAGAGAGACACAAGCCAAAGGGCTGGGAAATAGAAAAGACAACAAAAGCAGAGGGAGCCAGTCAGTTGGAATAGCGGTGAGAACTGTTTACTGGAGGACAATAGAGCTTTCTGCTCTGCCCATTAACACACTGAACCACAGATTCAAGCAATTACAGGAAAAAAACTTTAAGAAAATAATAACATACACAAAGAATTATAAAAAGTTCACAAGACTTACACAAAGAGCTGAGCTCAGTATCTTTTTCTTTTTGTGTGAGACTTACATCCTTTTCTAGTGGTGTTGGAAATGAACTAGTCCTAGGCTCTGAGATAAAGATTCCTGTGTTGGAGAGGCACTCAGAAATAAGATAATATGTAGTTACTAATCATAAAGGAGAACAGACCACATCTCAAAATGCTGCTTCTTCACCAGAGATTCAGGACAGATAAAACAATCTTCGTCAAAAAGAATGAGGCTAAAGGCATCAAGGGGCCTCATTTCAAGATGTACTATAGAGTCACGGTGGCAGAAGCAATAGGGTCATAGAGTAATAAGAGATTCATGGGCCAGCGGGACAGAAGAGAGAGCCCAGAAGTCAGCTAGCACACCTAGAACCAGCTCATTCTTGACAAAGGTGTCCAAACTGTGCAGGCTGCGTGGCTGGCCTCTTCAACCAGGTGTGCAGGGAAAGCAGACACACACATGCAAGAGATGGAAACAGAACTTTTATCTTTCATTCTGCACAAATACTCAGCTCGTGATAGATTCAAGACCAAATGCAAGGTCTTGACTGGAAACATGCATGGAGACACGTCAGTAAGGGCAATAGCTATTACAGATGCTGGACTAAGCAATGCCTTTTTAAAAATATATATGATTATAAAAGGAAACAAAACCAAAGACAGAAAAATTACACTGAAGTTTTGTACAGCACACAAAACAACAGAGGAAAAGACAATTTACAGAATGAGAGAATTGTTTGCCAACTATCCTCCCAATGTAGGATTTATATCCATAAGACGTAGTATATTTATAATATGTAAGGAATTCAAAAAAGAAGAATCTGATTACAAAATGAGCAACCGACTTGACAGTCATAAATACATGAGGCACAATCAATATCACCAGTCATCAGGGAAATTGAAATTACAATGAGATATCATGTATGCAGTTAGAATGCTCCTAAAGCCAAGGACAAAGTAAGCATAACCCACAGGTAACAAGTGCTGGCGTGAACACAGAGAGGGAACTCTTCCACGCTGTCGGTGGGAACCTAAAATCAGAATGGCGGCGTGGAGGTTCATCTAAGGAGTGGAAAGAGGACTACCATGGAGCTAAACCATCCTGCTTCTCTGTCCATGTCTACTGTGAAGCTATTCATAATAGCTGAGGCTGTCACCCCTTAGGTCCTCACCAACATACACAGAGAACGGAGGACATCTCAACAGCGGAGTATTATTCGGTCATAAAGATAAGTGAAGTCCTGTCACCTGTAGCAGAATGGATACAACTGGAGAAAATTATATGGAGTGAAATAATCCAGGGACAGAGACGGGTGTGAAGGCTAGGATGGGTGATTATGAGAAGCGGGGAACTGTAGAGGCAGAAAATAAAAGGGAGGTCAGATTGGTCCCCTCATAGGTGCATGTCCGACACGTGTATTCAAATGCTGAATACCACAGCTAACCACATTATTTAGTACAATTAACACATGTCAATAAAAATAAAAGAACAACAATAAAAAATCTGCTTCTTGATAACAGAGACATATGCTTGTGTTTAGGAATGTATGTGAAAATGATTACTTTAATCCAGTTACCTCTATATACACCCAAAGAGGAAGTTTAACTTATTCCATCCTATTTTTTGCTTTCTTTTATTTTTGAGACAGGATCTTTCTACATGGCCTGGCTGTCCTAGAATTCACTCTGTAGACCATACTGGTCTTGAAGTCACAGATATCCACCTGCCTCTGCCTCTCGAGTACTGGGATTAAAGGCGTGCATGACCACCGCCCAGCCTTCCATCCAGTTTTTGGTAAGTCCTATTTCCAATGATGAGATCTTACTCATCAAAATCACTTATGAGTAGGCAAAGCCAAGCTGCCAGATGACATTTCAACTCATTTGTATTTATTGTAATGGTTCTGCTCTACTACAAATAGGTCTTCTCACAACACACCACAGAAACACATTTACCCACATAGACATAGAATGGCATTTTCTACAGGAGGGTCACACAGCAAACATCACAGGGTATGTGGCCTCAATAAGGCATTCAATGAGGGTGTGCCACCTCCCCTGTCCCTCTGGCTGTCCTTAGGAGGCTCTTATGTTGGCATCACATTCTTCTAGGAGAAGAATTAGATCTTCAATCAGGCTGTGCTCTCGGCCATGGGTCACTTTCATAATGTCGAAGGCCTAAGGAGAGAGGAAAGGTGGCCGATCAGTGTCTCGAAACACACAAGCCTCTGCCTGGCTCCTCACCATCTCCTGATGATCTCGAGGCCCAGTCTTTAGGAAACTGGCAGCACCGTGGTTCATGAAGCCAGCACACAGGTGGCATAGTTGCTGCCTGGGGCCTAGGAAGTGGGCTCTGTGCTGGTCACCCTGGGGCAGCCGTGATCTTCAGTGACCACACTGATGCACAGGCTCAGGTGGACAGTGCTGGGGTTGAGGAATTCTCACCAGGAGCAGTAAGTCATACAAAAGAAGAAGTGGTATGCTGCTTCCTCCTAACAACAGGTTTTAAAACTTTATTTATTTTATGGGGGGTATATATGTACAATGGTGTGCTTTGGGGATCTGAGGACAAGAGGAGGGAGCCCAGTTCTCTCTGGGATAGACCTCAGGCTGCCTCTGGGATAGACCTCAGGCTGCCGGGTTTGGTGTCATCTTGCTGTCCCATGACAATTTTTCTTCTGAATTACGACATACTGCACCCACATACTTTACAGTCTTTTCCTGGCCTGTGCTAGTACAGTGGTGGCTTGCTGGTGACACCTGCCTTTAGCTTCCATGCTCAGGCTGCTCCTTAGAGGGCTGTGAGAACTGGGCTGAGCTTGCGGATTCTCCAGTGCACAGCAGGAATAAAGTTAACAACTCAAAGGCAAGAAGCCTCTGCCTTGGTCTCCAGCGTTTGCTCCTGGGATGCCAGCTGCTGAGCTGCCAGGAAGCTCGAACCTCAAACAGTAGCCACACGTGGTGACTCTGGATGATTAACAGAAGAGCTGAGGTACCAGTTGTCTGCCCAGGGAGGCTTCGGATGCCTCCAGCATCCAGGCAGAAGCCAGCCAGCCTCTGTGGAAAGATCTACATTCCTGCCATGCTCAGATCCACTTCCTGACCTGGAACCGTGAACATAATCTTGTTCTTTACTCTGCCGAGTCTTTGGATGGTTTGCTGTAGAGCAAGGAACAGCCCCGACCAATGGCAGCACTACACACTGTTCAATGGGAGGCGGGCAGGGGGGAGGGAATCCAAAGTCACTGTATCTGGTGTGAATGGGTTCTAAAGAACCTTCCAGATGTGGCACTGGTGGCTGTGAAGCACCAGCCAATGGGCTCCAGGACAACCTAACCTTCCCCTGCCCCACACCCCCCCTGAATATAGGTGCAGTAACTCCCAGCAATCATGGCCACTGTCTACCATTCTGTGCTAATCTAAAGACAGCATGATTGCCATTATGTACAACACCAGGTTTAGTTACAGATATTATTTCATAAACTTCTCTTGAAAATGTAGGTCTCTTCCGGTTGTTTTGATTACGACAGCTATGGGTCTCCTGTTGTTGTTATTGTTGTATGTGGATGTGTTTCCTTTCCTTTTTTTTTTTCTTTGCTGTTTGTTTAGATAAATCTTTAGGGGTAGAATTCTTGGGTTCGCCCACCTTGAAGCCACAGAGATTTTTGGAGCTGGAAAGCACCGAGCAGGTCTCACGGTGGGACGGCTCTGCTCTGGCTACACTCATCAAGTCAGACAGCCTGGCCTCTGCAGAGGGGAAGGCGGAAGGAGGGAGGCAGAGCAACAAAGCTGTCTGATGCTGGTCGCCTGAGCTCCTGCCTTCTCCTCCTGTTTCTGTAACGGTGTTCCCTTTAGGCTTGAAGAACAGAAAAGAAGTAGGCTCACTCGCGTGCTCTCTCTATCTCCCTCAGTGTCTCTGTTTCACTGTCTGCCTGCCTCCCTCTCCCTGGGTCTCTCTCTGCCTCTCTGTCTCTGTCTCTGCGTGTGTGTGTGGGGGGGGCATTGGAGGGGCAGGAGGTGGGGTTACATTTAGATGTTAGGGGAAAAATGAAAAATTCAAAGAAAGCCGTGCCGCTCTGGGCGTACAGGGTGGTCAGGCCCACAGGAGGGGCCAGGACAGACGCAGGGAACTTGTTTCTTGTTAATCTGTACAGGTCTGTCCTGCTGCACGTTACTGCACACATATCCTGAGGCAGGGCTTGTTGGAGGCGAGGGGAGGAGCAGGAGCTGCCCCTCCCTGCAGGCAGCCAAGCTCTGGGAGATTAAAAGGCAACATCTGGTGCCTCATGTTTTATTCTCTTTCCCCTGCACTGCCCTGGGCCCTCGGCTGTGCAGGCCATCCATGCTGGGGTCTGAGGCAGAGACCTGCAGGATGGTGTCATTACAGAAGCTTCTGACCAGATCCTTCGTGGTAAATTCTTGAAAGCCACTGTGGCTGTCCTGTCCCCCTCTGCTTGTCTAGGGCTGTGATGTACAGGGGAGGGTGAATGTTCTCCAGGAGAGCCCCTGAAAACAGGACCTGGCCCTGCATCCACCCGAGAAAGGGCTCACCTGGCACAGCGCCCTCTGCTGGCGGTTCGCACAGCTCCTAGTCATGGTTGTTTCTGCGGGTTCTCCACCTGGTGAAGGACCCAGCCTCTCTGCGACTCGACCGATGGCCAAATGACAAGGCTGTCTTCTTGTCACCCTGACCATGGAAGGCTGACCTGTGTTTTCCTGAGCATATTTCTAGCTCCAGCCCTCCTTCCTCATTACCTCCCGCAGTTCCAGTCCTAACCAGGATTTTCCAGTCCACTGAAGGGGCAGAGCTGCCATTGGACAGCGGGGCAAGCGCCAAGGCTGCACGGGAGACTCGGGACCTATGACACTGGGGCTGTCGGACCTGGCAGACAGGAAGCTGCCACCATCTGAGCTCACAGCCACATTGCCCAGACTGCTTCCTGAAGGCAGGGAAAAACGTCCAGCCAGATGCCCTGATCAGGAGAAACTGCTCCAACTCCCCCGGCCTGAGAGGGGGCAGGGCGCGAAGTCTTGTCTCTCAGGACCCACCCCAGTGTCCGCTACAGCCTCCGGCTGTGCACAGTGCGGCGACCATGGAGAAGAAGCATGGTTTCCTGGCTGTGGCTCTCAGACAGCCTGAGGACACTGGGGTGGCCCGGGTCTAATGTCGCTGACCATGCTCTGTGTCCTCTCATTTGCTGGTGACCTCAACACTAGAGTCATATGAGAGCAGGGCACCAGTGTTCCAGGATCCTATGCACCACCCTGGCTGGAGGCAGAGGAGAGGAGTACAGGAGGGGGGCAGAGGACTGACGTGAAGACAGTGGTGGGGGAGGGACGGGGAGGGATAAAGGACAAAAGTACGTCACTTGTCTGGAAACCAGAGCTTAGATAAAGTTAATAGATACGATTTCCTCTGAGCAGTAGTCATACATGGGAGAGAGACAGAGAGAAAGGAAAGGATGCTAAGTCTGCCAGAGACTTCATGCGTTTGCAGGTGTCGGGGATGTGCCAAGCCGAGCAGGGCAGACCTGACGATGGAGGACCAACATCTGGCTCTTGTCCCTGGTGCCACTTGTGTCTACCAGGTCCTGTGCCCAATGCCTGCCTGGGACAGAGAAGAGCCCTGAGCTCGGGACACCTCTTCAGCTTAGCTGGGAGGAGAAGAAGGCAGCATGAAGCTTAAGTAGATCGTAGACAAGCCGGAGCAACTGCTGCCAGGAGCCGAGCCTCCCCGCGCTCAGCGCCTCCCAAACGCTACCCACGTGCATGTCAGAGAGAACGATTCCAGTTTAATTTCCTGTAGTGGTGTATAAAACAGATTAAGGAAATATAAAGTCGGAGCAGGCTCCGTTTGGGGAAAGCTTCTCTCTTCCCATTAAATTTTATTTTTTAATGGTAGCATTTAAAAGGGGCCCGCATACAGTCAGGCACGGAGGATCCATCTGAAGCCTCCGGTGGGATGTGCTGCACCCACGTCCATATTCTAAATGTCACACCGGAAATGGCATTGCAGATTGTCTGCCACATGAGAGGCACAGGGCTCTCTGAGAAATAAAGAAAAGGCCCCCTGAACTGATTTCCATCTCATCATATTTTTTAAAGTAATTTTAGAATTGCGGCAATGCATTAAATAAAACGAATGAGATCAAATTATGATTTAGAGTTGGAAACAATATGGCTTTCTTATTAATTTTTAATATAAATATATTAAGTTTATCAAGGATCTCATATGCTTTCTACTGCGAGCCTGGGGAATGCAATAAAAGACTTCCCCGAGCATGATTTAAATATGGATATGAAAATCAGAAGGAAAAGAAACACACGCAGGGTAAGAACCTTTAGATCAGGCCCCCACAGGGGACACTGAAGCCAGTTTTCCTCTTCTGTCCATCCCAAGAAGAAAGCAGTGTGTGTGCTGGGGGGAGATGGGGCCTGGGCATTCGGTTGGGGACAGGAAGTGGAGCTACACCCCAAGCAGCTGCATAGCCACTGAGCCCCTTTGTAGTGGGCATCAGGGAACCCCCAAACCTCCAAGGACCCATGTGAGCTCAGCAGCTTCCCCATAGACTCAATTCCACACTACATCTTCAAAGATTCATGGCAAGTGTCAACTCCCCTTGAGGGGAACATGCTTGGGGGAGGCAGACTATGCTTGGAGAGACCCCTGGTCTATCATTTATGATGTACTGACAGGCAGCTCCAGTGAGTAAGTCTGGGCGCTTGCTGTGGGAGGGGTTCTGGCCCTGTCAGTCTGGACCTATGGGATAATCACAGTGAAAGCAGAGGGTTGGGATGCCCACAGGACGGAGGGTTACAGATGTGGGGAGCTCAGGGTTGCCTGTCTGTGGCAGGAATCATGCCAGAAAGAGCTGCTATTGTTGGGGCTGGACTGATGGTTCAGTGGTTAAGAACACGGAACAACTTATTACTCTTGCAAAGGAACCGAGTTCAGTTCCTAGCACCCACAAAGCAGCTCACAACTGTCTGTAACTCCAGTTTCAGGAGATCAAATGTGCTTTTCTGGCCTCCGTGGGAACTGCATGCATACAGTACACACACATACATTCAGGTAAAGCATACGCACACACACACATACCTGCATGCACACACATAGATTTGCTATTGTGTTGCTATCTTTAATCTGTCAATATAATAATATTTTTTAAAGACTTATT